TCAATTAGGTTTATTCGCATATTTACTTCCTCTTGTGTTATTATTTAATCAATGAGTAGAGATGACTTAGAATTTGTAATATATTCATATTAGTGAACTATCTCGTGAAGGTCTTGATGATTGTACATCTGATCATGCAGATTCTATAATTAATTCTTTACTTCTCTCAAATGATAATCAACTAGCAACATTTATATATAATCAGTTGCATAGATTAACGGTTTTCCGTGCTCATCTCTAGTAGATTTTATTTTAAAGATTGAGAAGCTGGATAGGTGTGGGTGTGTGTGAAATGTAATAGCCACACCCGCCTTCAAGTTGAATTGAGAAGTGTTTTCTATTCATATTAACATATTGATCTGGTCCATAGTATATTAATATCTATAGAAATCATTTATTTTTCTACTATGAATTATTCGTTTTAGTGGAACAGAAAGAATAATTCATAATACTGAATAAATACGATTCTTTTTCTCTCTCTTCGTTACTTTAAATAGCCTGTTGGGTGGCCGTTCTTTTTCTTATCCAACACAGAAACTCTATCTTATTCAGATACAATAACTATATATCGTCAAGATCTTTTTCTACAATACATGTTTATTTTCACAACAAAGTCAAGAATAAATTATAGTTTCTTTTTCACGTCTTCCACATTGTTTCTATACCATTGCAGATGCGAGTGGTCTGATGGTAGTGATTGATGTGCAATATCTACAGCACGCTGACAGAATGAAAGCGCTTTAGTATGTTGACCCATTTTGTTGTACACATTACCCATGTGTCCAAAGGACATAGCCAACTCAGGATGATTGGGAGGAAGTGACTGTTGTCGAATTTCAAGAGCTTTTTCATGAGATGAAAGTGCTTTCGGATAATCACCCATGTTGTAATGTACTAAACCAATGTTGTTGTAGGACTTAGCCAACTCAGGATGATGGGGAGGAAGTGACTGTTGTCGAATTTCAAGAGCTTTTTCATGAGATGAAAGTGCTTTCGGATAATCACCCATGTTGTAATGTACTAAACCAATGTTGTTGTAGGACTTAGCCAAATCAGGGTGATTGGAAGGAAGATATTGTTGGTGAATTTCAAGGGCTTTTTCGTGAGATGAAAGCGCTTTCGGATAATTACCCATATCGGCATACACTAAACCAATGTTACCATAGGATTTAGCCAAATCAGGATGATTGGAAGGAAGTGATTGTTGTCGAATTTCAATGGCTTTTTCATGAGATGAAAGTGCTTTTGGATAATTACCCATGATATAATGCACATTACCAATGTTGTTGTAGGAAGAAGCCAAATTAAGATGATTTGGAGGAAGAGTTTTTTGATACATAGCAAGTGATTTTTTATACAGTGTAAGTGCTTCTTCATATTTTCCTTGTTCATCTTTGATCATACCAAGATGAACATAAATATATGCCTTGTTCTTATCATCTTCGGTTTGATCAAGTAAAACTTGATAGATATCTTCAGCTTTGTCAAATTGACCCATTTTCCATAGTACCAAACCCAGTCTGTACCATCCTCCAGAATCTGGATAACTCTCTTTTCGAATATAATCAGTAAGTCTGCTTAGTTCTGGATCATTATCAGCAGTCAGTGTCAAATTAACTTCATATAAACGATTATTTCCACCCATCTGTTTAATGTCCTGGATACGAAAAATGCTATGCATAGAAAATAAGACTTCCTCTTCATTTTGGAATTTACTAATACCAGCAATGGAAGCAAATGGTGTTGTTGATTGAGCAGGATTAATCTTCATGATAAAAAGTACACCGACTTGATCTGGATTTCTTGCAGCATCTTGAGCAAAATTTTGTGAAACTTCTCGAACTTTACTAGTAGATAAGAAACTATTGAATGAAATAAGACCACCTTTAATTTTGCTTATTTGTTCAAAGTTCCCTGTAGATAAACCTTGACCACGATAAACGGTGAAAGTGTTAGCAGCAGTTGTACTAGCATATTGTTCCTTGTGCAGTTGTTCAATCTGTCGATGCAAATCACCGATGAAGAAGCCCATATGTGTAATGATATCACCATCCATCAATCGTAATGCACGATTGAGCATGGGATACAAGAACATTTGACAGCTATACCAATAAATTGGTGTTTTGTTGTGGTATTCGCTTTCCAATTGTTTAATGTTTTCTATTTCTTTTGTATTACCTTCAAAAGCATCACGACAGTAATTAAGATAATCTTGGATGTGCTTCTGGTTAAATTTGATGGTTAACATGATTTCTTTGATGATTTGAGTATACATAAAAGAAGGATCTAACTGATCCAGCTTTTTATTTGTTCCCATGAAACTCATGGGAATAGCATTCTGCTCACATTGATGAGCAGCTTCTTTGAGTGCTTCACAAATTGGTGTAATGTCTGTGAAGACACCCTTTATTTTGAGCCAATCTTTAGTCCATTGTTCATGATATTTTTTATTGCCACAAAAGATAAATATCGAATCAACTTGGGACATATTGTGCACACGAGGCAAAATATGTTGTCCAAGTGATCCAGATATAATCATGCATACTTTTTTGTCGACGATTGTTTGAATGAACTCAAGACATTGATCGCCATCTATAAATGTATTAATATCATTCACAATACATCGCAGTTTTGTGATTGTATTTTGACAATCATCACTTGTTTCGGCAATGTTACTATCCAACCAAATTAGAAGAACATTTTGTGCCTGTTGGATATTGATACGTCGACGACCTTCTGCACCTTTTGGAACTGTCGATGCATTTGTTTTTGATTGTCCCTTGCCCATTGTTTGCTATGTAAATGATTTGAATTTGAGTTACTGTGAAAAATTTACTAGTGCAGTAATGATCGAAACCGTTCCGTTTTATAGGTGTCTACTTCGTTTCGAAATTTTTTTTCTCTCTATTTAGCTGTTAATGATGTCACTATGAAAAACAGCATATGGAGAACGAAAAAACAACTGATGAAATATTGTCATGGTTCACTAACCATCGAAGTAGCTTGCCAAAAATAAGTATTTTGTTTACGGTGACGAAGAAAAAACGTATTAAGTCATGTTTGTTATTGGAGAATCCCAAGTAAAAAACGTATTTATACAGGTAAATTTTGACTAAATTACACAATTTGATGACATAATTCGTCATCGCGAATTTAAGACATAAAATTAAAAAAAGAATGTTTAAACTAGCCTTTATCATTTTTCTTGCTGTCTTCTGTTAGCTGACAGTCTGTATGTATAACCATTATGTAGATAACAAAGATAAACTTGGAAAAAAGTGCTTTTGTCATTAACAAACGTATAAAAAATGAAATTGACAGAAAAGGTCTCGATCATGTCTCTGTCTTCTTTAGGTTTGGGCAGGCTCTCTTGCGAATGTAGATGTGGGTGAGTGTCGATTAACTCAAAAGATCACACTCACACCCAGAAGCAGATCGTGCACTTCTGTTCCAAAAGTATAATATTAATATATGATGAGTTTGCAAATCACTAGAAATACGTGACATATCAAAAGGAAAACCTTATTCAAACTGACCAAAGATTTTTTCATATACATACGTCTGTTCAGACAGAGTAAGTGTTCGTAAAAGCTCATTTCATAGATATGAATTGTGAACATCGAAAATAATATTAAATTATTATTGTTCTACTAGAAGTTCAATGATAGGATTGTTGACAATCTCCATAAAACAAATGTATATGAGAGGAGCTAAGGAGACATCTCATTTTCTTTACTAATTTATTTTGATCAAAAGAATTCAAATTAAGATTATCGTTTGTGAAACTATCCGATGTTTTCTACGAAATCTTGTTATTTATTAAAAAACAAAGGGTCATCAAATATCTGACAGATAATTTGATAGAAAAAAATGTATGTAGCTTATGTTCGAATGGAAACTGACTCGTTGCGATTGTACAGCTTCAGTAGATTTAAAGTATATAAAGAAGATCTCTCTAAAGAATGATAATAAAGAGTCGTTTTGGATTACGAATCTTTAGAATCATTAATGTACTGTTCTTGTTATTTCTTATGATAGAAAGTATCATTGTCTTGTTTGTATATTTAACTTGAAGGACAAGCAGTACATATGGATTATTCGGTACGGGACTAGTTTTGTTTTTCATCTTGAGGGTGTGGGCGTGAGTATGGGTGTTATTTCTGCCTTAACAACACCCACACCCTCATCCTATACAGGATGCGAAAGTGATTGTAAGTAATATTAATAAAATAAATGTAGATAAAGTCATTAAAAAAGTTCACGAAAATATAGTTCAACGAACAGATTGAACAAGAAGGTTACAACTCGATAAAATGCATAAAAAATGTTCATGATTATACTTTAATAAGTAAATATATTGTATCTATTATGAAAAAACAATCATCAAGTTGTATAATTAAATTTGATAGTATTGCTCGATCACGTTTTCTTCCATATAATGCTGGAAAGGAAACTGTTATATAAATAAAGGGTATTATCTCCACATCCACTCCAAAAACTGATCGATTTTATCAAAATCGTCCATACAGAATACTTTCTAATGAATCAAACTATTCGTATACAACTTTACAAGAACTCAATTCATTACTTCATGAACAACCTGATTTAGTAGATTTTACTCATCCAATTGAAGGTTCTTATTATTATGTTATTCGTCGAAATAGTCACAGTCAAGACAAGTATACATTGTTTTATTTAATATGAATTAATCTATCGTTCTTTTTTTGTGCTTTGTAGTATTGATTTTCGAATGATCTATGCATTGAGTAATGCTGATGCTAATCCAAATATAATAGACGGATTGGGTAACGCACCTTTACATGAAGCTATTAGTCAAACTTTTGGGTGGGTGGGGTGTGAGTAACTTATTGGCTCTATATTTACACTCAAATCCAAATCAGCTTGTTCCCTCTTGCTTATATGCAACGGCTTACAGAGAAATATATTTTGTTGCTATGGTACTGTAATAGTATATTAATCAATATTTCTTTTTGAACTTTTTAATCACTATTAGAATGCAAATTGTTTCCATTCTGAACTCTCACTAATTGACAATTTCGTTCAATATCAAATCCTATCTCCGTTATTTCAAATGTTGGCTTCCTTGCAATCAGAAATTCACATTCAACAGGGAATTTAGATATCCAAGATACATCAGCACCAACCAATCGTTGACATCCATCTGGTGGTTCACTCGTATCAATTTCTAATAAATAGCCTTTTTCACACATAAAACCAAGTGATACTTCTTTATCCAATGATGTACTAACAAATGTACCATATTAGAAGTAATTGTCACGTTTTTGACTACCATGATTGTTAAATACGTCTTTATCAATTTCAGTATCTCTTAAACCGTGGTAAACTAACGGCGGATGGTTTTGTCTTTCATCATATTTGTACAATAGTCGAATAGCTGAGTCCAGTATTGCACCAAATATTGGCCACTTTTGCTAATGCCAGTTGTCTCCCGGCTCAAAAGGATTTTGTTGACAAAAAAGTATTTCATCCAAGCGCAAATCGGCATAAACAGCAGTGTCTGTGTACAGTATAACTGCAAGCATTTGATCGTAGTTTAGCGGCGACCCCATTCTTACGTGTCTTGGATGTTTCAATTTGTCACGTACAACATCACGCACTCAAGCATTTATATGGGCCTCCTGTGGGGCACAAAACGTAACTAAAGCCATTTTTGTTCAGTTCATTGATAAGATCCCCATCTTTTCCTGTATATGTGCTTACCAGACATTCTGAGCGCTTACCAGGCTCCCATCTCTCAAAACCTGATATAAATTTTTTCGATTTCATATTTTCTTCTACAGAAAGTCCACCACGTCGACCCACATGCAAGTAAATCGTATAGCGACCAATATCATGCATTTGGTATCCATTCTTGCACAGACGAATAAACGCGTCACAATATTGACCGTATTCATCCATGTGAATACGATTTGCCGTTGTATATTGATCATTTTTAATTTCCAAATAGAAATCACATGATGTATTTTTGGGACACATACGAAAAATTGGGAAAGTAGTGGTTGTCATTGTATAATGTAGTGCTAATAGGTTTTATCAATACAACGTACTAAATCGGTTTCCAGACACTTTATCCACATTAACAGTAGCACAACTATAAAAAAAAATAAAGTGGTAGTCGCATTGTGTATTTCGAAGGAAAAGAGCTTCGAATATTAAATAGTCAACCATGAAATGGGTGTGGGTGTGGCTGTACCATGATTAGAACACTCAGATTCACACCTGCACCTACACCCTGCTGATTTTGTATCGAATGATCGGAAGAAATATACCATTCTATAGTCTCTCCATGTCAATATATGACCTCTGTCTATGGTTGTTGTTTAGTGTATGATGATGAATAGACTTATCTATGCAACAGCCGAGAAAATATAAAATATCTTCAGAGTATCAAAATTTGTTAGTTTTCCTTTTTCTTTGCTTTTACTGGATTTTTTATTTATTAATGTCAAAGACAAAATCGGTCAGAATTTTTGATGATTTTTATATCTGTTCTTATCAAATTCTAAATAGCATTATATTGATAATTTGATTCTCTTCTACTAAATAGCTAATCATAATGAATAAAACTAGATGAAAAAAAGCAAACTAATCATAAAAAATATCAGAGAATTAAGATTAATAAAAAGACTAGACAAGTGTAAAATGGATACAAAAAAAAATAATCATTTAAATTCTTAACGGACAGTTAAATAATCAAAACCAAAGAAATGAAGCAAACTTCAATAATATATACTTACTGATATGTGTATAACACTATTTAGTTTCTTCGGCAAGTGCTTGGCTTGTTACTTTTGCAAGATGACAGAACTTTATGTTTCCTTTTATTTGTTTTTACTCCTTTTTTCTAATACATTTCAGCTTTGTATGTGTTTGAAAACGATTGTATATAGTGAAAGTAAAGTAAAACGATTAAGATGACGAAGAAATGGCGAGTAATTCTATGATCGAAAGAAAAACTAAAATTTATCCAATGAAACTCATTTTCAATAGAATTCACATATAAATGTTTGAGTGAAACGATGTAAAGATTGATAATATTGCATAGTATTATTATTTTTCTAATTAAATAGATATTTTAGCAGATTCCATACATTTATTTTATTTCTCCATAAATAAAGATTTTTGTTTTGATGAAATCAATTAGGAATAGAATAGTTTGTACAGTCAAACAATTGTCTATTTCGTGACTTGTTGTATAATGTTTATCAATAATCAAACTAGAAACTAAGAAAATATTCGTTGTAAAACGAAAATCTTTTTATCGTTATCTTCATAAAAATTATTTGTATGAGAATGAAACTAAATTTTATAAAATCTGTTTAAAAATATGGTATTCGAAATAGATAATTTTCAATGTTAAACAAATAATAATTGTTTTTTTTCTATTTGAACGTTTCAAAATAATTTGTTCACAAGATTTTATCCTTAATTCTTTATTTCTAGTTATATGTTATTGTGAACTCTCGATAATTATTTATTAAAGAATAATTTATTCAAATGTATAATTAATGCATAAGAGTTATTATGCAAGTCTTTTGACATTATTTTCTTTAACTCTGTTCTATACAAAACATGAATAATAATCAATTTGTTCATTTCATATCATTTTTAACAACAGAAAAACAAAACATCTAATTTATTAACAAAAAAAATAAACGTTTCACTTCTTTTCGAAATGTTTTCGATATAACTAGATATGCATAACAACCAATACAAAATGAGATATCACTAATAAAATAAGCTACCAAATCCAAAAAGTTGTTGATTTGTGTTAAGCCAACATTCTGTACGATCTGGTAATATATAATGACAACAAACAGCATTGCATTACATGCTATGTAAATACAAATATCCGCAACTACCATTAGAACAAATCGTCGATCTTTCGCATGAAAGGGATGTTCAGAATGCCGTGCTATATTTACAGTATTCGCCGTTAGAGGAGCAATGCGTCGTTGATGCAGTTTTCGAATGTTTTCTGCAGTACATATGCCAAAAATAATCATTAACAAAGGCACTGCAATTGCTTTGACGAACAATGAATAATAACTCAAGAGAAGGGTATAACGACCTGCTCGAGCGTAACACATAAAATAACCCGGTGCTATTTCTTGAATATCTACTAAGAATAATGCATGACAATGAAACACTATCCAAAATAATGTTCCACAACCGATACAAATATAAGCTAAACGAAGAGTACTTTTTTGTCGTGTTCGAGCATTTGATGATGTGACTATAACTCGGTCGATTGAAGCTAAGATAAGATAAAATGGACTGAGAATATCGAATAAATACGATCTGTAATAGTAGAAACGACACATGAAGAGATTATATATAGTAAGATCTGTGCCATAGCCAACTGTTAATATAAGGAATAATAGTGCTAAAACAATGTATAAGAAATTAGCAACATTCACTGCTATCAAATAGATGGAACATGGACTTTTACGTTGATTTTTCTGAGTGAAAACAATCAGATTGATGATACAACTAACAACACCAAATACCAATAATATTAGACCACCGATTCGAAATAAACTTGTCTGCACTGATTGTAACAATGTGAGAAAACCGTCCGACAATGACATGTTACTTTGAGAATAACCTTAATGAAAGAGTAATAATAATGAGTCGGATATAATTGTTTGATTTTGTCAGGTCGGAATAATCTGAAACAAAAATAACCACAAGTTTTACGAACAAAGCACAGATATTTTTAATAAATTTAATGAGAGTGTAATGATGTTTGTTCCTTTTTATCTTGTTCTTTTATTCTCTCTGGTGAGCGAGTTTATAAATATAAATATCGAACAAAAGCTTATAATTAATTGTAAAGAAATATATTTTTCATTAGAAAAATGATTAATGAACTCTCTTGAAAATAAAATAATTAAATGAGTTGCTTTGCCAAATAATTTTCAAATTGAATTTCGAACTGATTTTTTTCGATGGCTATTATTACCAATACTTGATGAAAATATTAATGACATGTCAATCTTGAGGGTGGGTTGGGTAATAGTTAAGATTACATTCATACCTTATATTTGAATCAAACTTAATTCAAATATTAAAAACTCATTTTGAATTTTTACATTTATTTATTTTTTAAACAAAATAAACAAAAATATTTTCACAAAAACATTTAATTATTCATCTCGTCATCAACATCAACAAATTTCATTCAAATCAATTTCAAATTTTTGTATTCGATCGTTACCCTGATCGACAACATAGAGATTACCTTGAACATCAAATGATAAACCTCTGAGATAACTTAACTGATTTGGTTGTTCTCCTTCTCTATTGCCACCAACTGCAATACTACCTTCGCAAGATCCTTCACACCAACGCATTACTCGTTCATTACCACTGCCAGCCACATAAACATTACCCAAATGATCGACAGTCACTCCTTGAGGATTAGACAATTGTGTCAAACTATTCCCTTCACCTTTCCCACCAGCAACAACAATACCTTCTTTTGCACCTTTCATCCATTTCATCACACGATGATTGTTTGCATCCGATACATAAATTAAATAATCTTCATCAACGTAGATGTAAGTAGGATGGTTGAGTTGATTGAGATGATTTCCTTTTCCATTTCCACCTGCTACTATTCTTCCTTTTCGCTCTCCTTGTTTCCATCGTCTCACTTCATGCTTCCTCCAATCAGAGACATAAAGATTTCCATTATTGTCCATTGTTAGACCTCGACAATCAATGTCAGAAATGATTGTTTCTCCATTTGTACCATTTTGACAAGACCAACGTATCACTCGTCTGTTTCCATAATCACAAATGATGAGAGAATCATTCTTTTTATCAATAATTACATCTATTGGATGATTCAATTGATCACTTCGATTACCTTTTCCATTTCCGCCTGCAACAATTTGACCATTCTTTGCTCCATATTTCCATTCAACAATGCGATGATTACCATAATTAGCAATATAAATAGTTTGATGATCATCATCTACATAGATACCTTGAGGAAGAGAGATTTGATTTAACTGATTGCCATCTCCATTTCCTCCCGCAATAGTAATTCCATGTTGTTTCCATTTGGTGTTGATATTAATGTGATCTGAAGAAAAAAGATTTTGCTTATATTAGATTCACAAATGAAAAAAAAACGTTTTAGTCTGTTTGTGAACTTCTGCCGTGAAGTGAATATATCATTTTTATTATAGATGATAACTATAAGAACTTTTATTCTTTTCCTAATGTACAGTAAAATGGTTATTTGTTACATTTTATTATAATTGACATAAATCATTCATTTATATTAAAAGTTCAACTAGACATATAATGCTATATAATTTGAATCATAAATGATATTGAAGGAAAACTTTTTCTTTTTCTTTTTTCTATATATATTTATGAATCGATGCTAATCACTAAGTTCTTCACCTTTATTCACACTCCAATTAGATAACTGGATGATGCAATATTCACATTCTCTTATATGATTTACTATTGAATACAGAGATCGCTCACTTTATTCATATAAGTGTCATATTAATATCATCGTGAGAAATGTGTGACAGTATAATGATAAGAAAAGATAAAATATAAATAGAGTTGACGTTAGTCAATATTGAATGTATCGATCTCATTTCGATTCTAAATAAGTTTCTGTCATCTAAAATGACTGACTGATAAACACAAAACAAAACTCTTTTAAAAAACTTACCGATGGAATCGTTTGTATTATTAATATTGGGATTGCTGGTTAATTGTTGTGGCTTTTTTAATGCAAATAGTTTTTGACGAATAAATTTACTAATAGAATCGTTTGTTTTATTAGTACTAACATTAGTAGCTAATGGATTTTCCTCTTTGAATATAAGTAGCTTTTTATGCCATTGAACACTCATATCATAGTCACCTGTTTGTGAAGTCAGTTCACCAAGATCTTCATATAAATCGCTAAGTAAGGGATCATTCGATGGAAGCTCTTGTAATCAACGATTAAGATACTTTTCAGCCAAGTCAAATTTACCCATTTTCCATAATAATTTTCCTAATGTTCGAAGATTTGTTTCTTCACTTTTAATTTGTTGTTTCATATGCATAAGAACTCGTTTTAAATCATGTTCATCATCGTTACATAAAGTCATTTTAATGATCCATATTTGATCATCATTACGATTAATATTATTAAGACGAAAAATAGAACCAATCATAAAGAGAACTTCTGAATCCTCTGGAAAATGACTATGTTGACTGATATCAGCAAATGGTTTTGTAGTGACCATTTTAGAATCAGCATCAATTTCAAATAATACTCGTTCTGAATCAATCTGTGTAGTTATATCACCCAAATAGAAGAGAGCTGTTGTGCGTTGTTCACTAGTAGAAAACATTGAATTTATAGAAATGAATTGACCAATATTATTTTTAAGACCATCTAACTCATCGATCGACATTAGTTGACTGCGATAAACTTGTAAGGGACGTTTTGATTGAGATTCTTGCAATTGACGATAGATATCATAAATAAATGCACGAAATAAAAAGATCATATGAATATTTTGTGTACGTAAAGCTGCATTAAGAGTTTTATAAAAGAAAGTTTCTTTTGTGTACCACCATAACACTTTATTAGGCGAATAATCTTGTTGAAATTCACGAAGATTACTTAGTTCAGTATGATTTCCTACATATTCATTTTGGTAAATATTAATAAGTTCATTTTTGTCTGTCTCAGTGGATTTCAATCGTAGAAGACAATCTATAAGAATCTGAGAAAAAACAAATTCTCCATTAACTCCTATTGTTGATTTTCCTGCATCAACATTTGTTGTAAAAATATTGATTGATAACGGTTCTTCTATCTTTTTCTGAATTTTATGATCTGTTGTAATTTGAGAGACGAGTTCATCAAGATCAACAACAACAGATTTTATCTGTAGAAAAAATAATAAAATGAAATAAGAATATTTTAGCAAAGTTTTACTTTTGAAAATTTGTAAGCCCATTGTTCATTACTGTTCGTATCCATGCAATAAACATAAATTGATATAACTTGTCGAAGCTGATGAATGTAGGGTACTATTTCTCGTCCTAATCGGCCACTAACAATAATTACTAATCGATCTTTTTGTGATGTTTGTTCAATATATTGTTGACATTGTTTTATATCTTGAAATTTCTTAATATGATTAATAATAGAACGTAATTTGACTTCTGTATCTCGAGTGTCTTTAACGTTTACATTTGCATCGAACCAAATGAGTGAGAATATTTCCAGAGACTTGTCATCGGTGTGTGTGTAAAAGTCATCAATCGGTAGAACAGTAGTGGCCATCTTAATTCAAGAAACTAAAAATAGTATAGAGTTCTCAAATTTTATGTGTTTTCTGCAGTCAAAAAAAGAAGATGGTATTTTCATATTAGGTTTTTCAAACTTTGATGTAAATCAAAAGAATAAAAGAATAATATGTTATGATTGATTAAAAAACTGTGCCTGGATCTGGGTGTCGATATTGTATTAATTATACACCGACACTCACACCCATGAATAATAATATTATCTGATATAAACATGAAGTAATGATCGAACAATACATTAACCTACCTTAGAAGATGAAGTGATGATCAACAAGATATTTGTAAAGAAATGTTTTATATGCACGATACTTATTTCTGTTCTTTGTGTTCGTATGTATTTGCACAAAGTATAAGTCTTGTTTGTCTCTTTTGCTCGTTCTTGTCAACTCATAGAAGAGCTTATTATGAGCAAATAAAAACGGCAATGTAAGAAACCAAAAGCTGTTCGAAAATCAATCGATTTTGATGAAAATAGTAAGCTGAAGAAAGGAGCAAAAATCTATCGGGGAAGATATTGACTAAGTCATAAAAATATAATATATACGAAATGAATTATTTATTAATATCTAAAAATAACTACGTAGAAGAATAAATAGTTTTGGAAAAAAAAGAATTGACGAATCAAATAAAACATTTTGTAAACAACTTAGCGCCTTTGATTTCAAGAAGAAATCCAACGTTTACTATGGAATCCAAATTTGATTTTCAATACTCGCCATATAATTGTTTTAGTAGAATCATTATCTGATCGGCAACAAAATAAAGAATAATTTATGCATATGAATATTAATCAATGGATTTATTTTCATTCTCATTTCATTTGGCTATTGTATTGATTTGTGAATTGTTTATTTCTGTTTTAAACTATTCCATAGCAAAATATTTTTATTTAAATCAAACAATTGTAATAGAAGATTAACGGATAATAAAAATCAATTACATTATTCAAATTTCTATTGAAAACTTTTTAAGAAATATTTTCAATAATAAACATAATAAATGTATTTGATTTAATATGAAAATAATATATTTATCATGTTAATATTAAAAGAATAAAATATAATGTTATTTATGTATAATTATTAATCGAGAATATAAACAACTTAATTCTTATTGATAAAACACATTTCCTGTTAATATAACAAAATATAAAACATTCAATGAAATTTTTAAGTGATGAAAGAGATGATATAATTAAAATAGAAATTGATCAAATGTTTTGTTGCCTTCAAAATAAAATAAATCAAAGTTTGATTATTTTATTATTGTACAATAGATATTAATCTTGAGGGTAGGTGTGGGTGTCTCTTCTTTCAACCCACACCCTTTAGTCGAGGAAATTACCATATCTGTAGGGAAATTCATATATTTATACATATATATTACCATACTTTTCTGTACTGCGGAAGTACAGAAGTCTCTTTGTTCCCTGTTGATTAAAACACACATTGATATCAAGGGAAAACAAGCTAATTTCTTGATTTCTCGATGATTTGCGGCTAGAAATCAGTTTGTTCCCCCCTTGAAATATCAAAGAAGGGAAATTTATAAAAAGAACAAAATAATTAAATATTCAATGTCAACTTTTTTGGGAAGAAGCTTAGTCTACAAAACTTTGATTGCCTTTTTACCATTTTAATATTAGCAGTTCTGAAGAGCTGAGTGCAAAAGTTTGTGTGTATTCAGTACAAAAATTGCGATTAGTTAGCTCTCTATAATACTAATATTATAACAGAATAAGAATGGAAGTATTTGTTTACAACATATGCTCGAGACGATCGAAACTAAATGATCATGCGACGAATTGCCCTAGTATCATATCATATTCATCGAATTCTTCGTATATTCAGATAATAAAACATCTAGAACAGCAAATAAAATTCGAATCTGTGTCTTTAAAATAATTGTACAAATATGCGACCGTACAGTAATTCCAACTGAATTTGTGGCGATTGTGTATTTTTTCAAGAACGTATCGTGTTTGAGTATCGCATGAACCGTTTGATCCATATTGTCATTATAGCGAACTGTTCTATCTTTTGACAAGTCGGTAATTCATTTTCTTTTGTCTTTAATATCGTTCTCAGTTTCAACAAATATAACAGAAACCTTCTCGCTTTGTAGTTAAGGATTTGCCAATGTCATTGTATAAGTTAATTCTTGAAAATTAACAATACTATCACAGTAATCATTTGACACTAATATGATAAAATAAATTAGAAGAAATTAAAAATGTAAATAAATATTCAAACTAGCTAAGACTTTTTACAACTTCATCAATTTTACCAACATTATCTATTAAAGAATTACAAAAAATTGGTTTATTCCATCATCGACAAATGTTAGAAAAGCAGATCGAACATATATACATATGGTTTATATTGGGTTTAGGTGGTCAAATGAATAATTCATCATTGATTATAAACAATCGACCAATTGAACTTATTGCTAGTATAGTTGAGATGTGAAACACGTACTGAATATTGCATACTATCGAAAGCTTTATACGATTGTAATATTATAATGCGAGTTTTTTTACTTTTCTATCTTTCCTCTATTCTTGTTAATTCTTTTATAGAGATAAAATTGTAAAAGAAGAATTCAATATTGGAGGTACATATGTTATCAATATACAAATAATATTACTAATTATCCGTATCCATTTAGTTTTGTTCAAGTTAGTTGA